AGTCATCGGTTTTCTCGCTTTACTGAGTCTGTTTTCCTCACTGATACTCATTGTTGGTCGGAGCTAGTCTTCCAAGTATGGTGCTTAAAAACTGAATATAATTTCTTCACTGCACATAAACTGCACGAACTAGAAGACAGCCGGAGAGGTATGTATTGCCAGGGATTTTTCTCTGGTTAGCTTCTAAGCGTACAGTCTACTTCTAATAAGCGTATGGAAAACCTAAGTAGAGCACAGCAGGACCGTGGGAAATGCGACGGTTCTGTGGCGTCACTACTCTGAGAACCATGTGAGTTTGCGTGGTTTGAGCGTATTAAGTTTCACTATCGGCTTTAACTTCTATGGGTAGTGTTATTATCCTGGACTTGAGTCTGTTTTCCAGGCACAAATAATGAAGCGCATTCACCTTGACCTTGCGACATGAAAATTAATTAAATTTTGAACGCTCCCTTAGTCCCAACACTCCTGAAGTAGGTGCTCATTCACATGCAGCCACGAGCACAGGTCAGAAAGACTCAGAAAGCTAGTAACTTCGTTTCTTTATTTTGTCTTCGTCCTTCTGAATTAAATCCACTCGTTTCCTTCATATTAAAAAAAATAACTGAGCCTTTTTTTTAACAAGGTTTATTTATCTACAACTCGGGATTTTGCTTTTTAGACTTCGGCACGGACTCCAGCAGCGAAAGGTAAGGGTATTTCATCTGTTTCAACCATATGTGATGCCGTCAAGTGATTTTAAGGGAAAAATATTCCTTATTTAACGCTTTTTATTTGCTAGAAATACACCAATTTAAAATTATTTTTAATATCCGGTGTTGGAAGGTTTAAAGCCCACCTTGAATTCCCTATCTTTTTGTAAATTCCAGCATTTTTAGTGTTCTAATTTTTATCTTAGGCTCGGGCAATCATTTGCCATACTTAGTAGTATGGTCTGCACAGCTTTTTTGCCTTTAACTCCATGTTTGGTTAAAAATCCTACAACCGTTTGCCATTTTGGTCCTGATACAACTCCCAAAAGGACTGGCCAAGTGATCAGGTTCGTCTCTCCTCCTGCACGATCCTCGTTTTCACTCTTCATTTTTACTTGCATGCTTAATCATCCGCGCCTGCAAAATTGCTCCTGTGTCTTTCGCTTGCCCCGACACATACTTTTTGTCTGTCGACGCATAGAATATCTTTTTCTGCAGCTTTGTGATATCTATAGACCTTTTGCAAAAGTGGGCCCTGCTGGAGACCTGGTTTTTGTATTCCATCCTTAGGCAAATTAGGGAGGTGCTTACTTTGTATTTACTTCCAAGTGATTCGATTGACTCCTGCTGTTGGGTGAATCGGCTTCACGGATGTCATGGGTAGCGGCGGTTGGAGGCGAGCTCCGCACAACTGTCAACCCAGTGCTTGTTCCAGTGTCGCAAGCCGCAAACAGTTACGAGACCCATACGTTCAACGTCTGATTTGACAGTGTTGAGCCACGTCAGTTGACCGCCCTGTCAGCGTCTCCAGTTTTAACTACGAGAGGACTTCACAATGGCTTGTGCATGGCATGTCTAAATGATTGCAATCACGCTAGACTTGGTAGTTGGAAACTTCTGCGATATAGCTCAACATTGGAAAGTCGATCCTGCCAGAAAACTTTTAAGATGCGTCGAAGGCACCAACGGTGGAAGACTTCGAGCGAAGAAAGGTCTGTCTTTCTGACGGGCCATGTTTCGTAAGTATATACTAACACCGGCCTGATGGATACTCTGTATATCAACAGCTTGGTACATAAACTGATGTCTGAGCGACACCAGAATGTTCTGGCTAGCAGCCTAAATGCATTTCGAGCCTGCGCGATTCGGTTCATGATTTGTGTTATAGGCCTGTCCGCTAGCTAGTATATTGGAGCCCAAATGGTAGAAGCAGCTAACTTCTTCGATAAGTTGACCACTGATAAACTGGTTGTACTGTGCCAAGATAGCCAGTCAGGAATTTGGTCTTGTGGATGTTAATCGTTAGACTAACAGTTACATCTAAAAGTGCTTACCTTGGCTCTGCTCGTCATCTTAGCCTGCAAACTGACACTCCTATTGAAAGAGATAATTACAGCACTGACTGGGCCAAAGTCGTTTTGTTTTAAAATAGCTGTTGGCCAGGCGAAAAGTAGATTCAGGTTGCTAGCCTTCGCCTTTTAAGTGTTGGACGGTTAGGTCAATCTAAATGTTAACATGCTGTTCGGTTGATCGTCGCGTTACCTTGTCTGCGTTGTGCCTATGTGATGCTGTTATTCTCCTTTTTTGTTTGCTTCTTCTTCTCGATGTTAGCTTTACCGCCTCCAGATGCGGCACCCAAGGGCGAATGGGTGAGGGTCATGTTTCAGTACACTCCCGAGCAGCCGGACGAATTGGAGCTGCAAGTGGGTGAAATCATCCAAGTCCTCGATCGTAATCTTTCCGAGGAAGGATGGTGGCGTGGACAGAATCTGAAAACCAAAAAGATGGGTGTCTTTCCAGACAATTTTGTCGAACTGTTAGATCCAACCAAGCCGGAAGTACAGAAGCTTTTGTCTGAAGCGCAGGTAAGCTCTTTCAACTGTCATTTTCGTACTTCTGGTCTGGACATCTTTTGAATGGGCCAGTCTTTGTAATTTTACAACGACGTCATTCACGTGCTTGCTTGCCAATCTCAACAGAGATCAGCTCCCTTTATTTTTCTTTTTGATGTCAAGAACGTCTGTGAGTTTGATGTGAAGACAATCATACCTGGGTCTTCTTTTAAGGATGTAACAGAAAAAAGATTCCTTAATCAGAAGGGGTTTGGCGTTCTGGACCTTCCCGCCTCTTGAGTTTACTCTCAGGTGTATTTGGGAGGTAACAGAATTAAGGGTATAGATTTATGAAGATGTTCAGCCAAATACCATCCACCAATGAGGACTATTTCCTTGATGGCAGTCACACCTTAATGCGAAGATGTTTACTGTGTGCCCTAGAATATGATAGGTTTAAAGTGAAGACTTGCCTAGCATCTGCCACACTTCTCCCTCACCCACTTGGGCCGGTGGCAAGACCGTCAAGACGACCGGAAGCGGACTCGGGAGTAGCGGCTGACACAACCGAAAGCCCGTCTTTGCGCGTCACACGCGACTTGCACCAGGTTTTCGTAGAATCAGAGGAGCGGTTCTACTCTCGCGTACATTTTTAAAGAAAAATTTATCTGGATACTTTGTCCTCAAACCACTGACCACATCCGGATTCCTATGACTCAATGACCTATTGCCACCGTCTTTCTATTTTAAATGCTTATTTCCGTAGCTGAAAGGTTTAGGAGTAGCCGCTGGAGATAAAGGATTTGTCTCCCCCCCAAAAAACGGTCATTTGTGTTCGCGCACCTAGTGTCGTCTCTTGGCCCACGGAATTCAGTCATTTATGCCATACTGCTCACCCAGGCTCTGTGGTTTCACTTGACTGTTTATCATGTACGCCGATTTCTAAGCCCCCGACACCGTATTTTGTGGCCTTGAGACACCTCGAGTTTATAAAAACACATAACTTGCCCAGTGTTATCTCTTGTCATGTCATGTGTACAAAACGTTACAGACCATAAGATTTTCACTATACTTACCCCAGCTGCCATAGCACTTATCGATGGGAGAAGTCTATAGTGTTCCTCTTTATGTACCTATAAGAATGTCGCCCAATAGGCTGCCAAGTGCGAATTTTCGGTGGCAGCTATCGACATTTTCAAAGGAAGTCATGCCTTGAAGAACATGAGGAATTTCTCCAATAAAGCACAGTGCCTCTTTACTACAAGGTTACCCGGTCCTGAAAATGGTGAATTTTTAAAGGCATTGTGTCTATGGATGTATGTGCTACGTGATTTCTCACTTTATTTGAACTTTTCAATTTAGCCTTGTTCGAACTGGGCACACATATAACGCACATTGGTTCCATCCACCATAAGCCTTAGGAGTTTGGTATAAATTTTGGCATCTTGTGTGGGGTACCTCTCTCGAATATCCGCTTAGTTCCCCCTCTTTGGTGGTTAATGCTGGGCTTAAAATGAGCGAAGACTGGAGGTTTTTGATCACCGCTGCCTGAGGATTATCCTTCGAGTAGAGTATACCGACTTAATCTCAAGTGAGACAGTCCGCATTCGCTGCAATAGTATCG